TTTTGTCTCTCTCTTTGCTTATGCAAGCTGATTCCTCCAAGGTACAATGGATAACGATGGGTTAACGTTTCTTATGTTTTCCACTTTATGGTGCAGTTTTTTTTTTCTGTATCTTTATATAAAGAAGGTAAGTGTTCCTGGCCTCACTCCATAGGGACAAAGCACCAAGCTCCATGCAAACCCTGATAGCTGGTGGATTCCAGCAAATTCACAGGACTGTACTCCCTGTTCCTGGCCCCCATCTGGGGACTCTCCATGGTGCTTGAGCCGTCTCTGCCGGATGCACACCTGAACCCATTCCCTGGTTTTTCCTTCTGTACCCCTCACCCCCATGAATCCTCAGGGTGCTTACACTGGGTTCAGGGCCTCTGGGCGGCCTCTGGCTTCAGCTGTCACTCCCTCCCCTTGCTGCCCGGGTCCCTGGCGGATCAGAGCTGCGTCTGTGGTGCACCCACCCTGCTCAGCCTTCCAGGTGTCTCTGAAGGTTTGTGACAATCATAGTCCCTTGGCTGGAAAGAGCTCCGACCAGGGTTGGAAAAGAGCTCCGACCGGGGTTGGAGAGGTGTGAGTGGAGACCAGGAAGCTGACCCGCGCCAAGGTGCTCGGAGGGATGAGCGGGGCCCTGGGCTGAGGGAGGCAGGGTGGCCGGGCACATGGGCGTCTCAGGAGGAAGTTCTGATGAGAACTGGGAACTCCAAGGGAGAGATCACAAGAGAGTTGTGTCCTTCATTTGGTTAGACAACGGCATGATCCTGCTGCCATGGTCTGAGCTGAGCCTTCGGTAGGCGTGAAACCTGAGGCAAGGCTGTTGGGGATCGTGGTCGTGGTGATTTTAGGTGCATGGATCCCAGGGCAGATGTCCAGTAGGGAAAATGGAGTGCTGGGTGGGATCTGAGTGCTGACATACAGCTGAGTCACGGACAGCAAGATGGACAGGGCAGTGACGGAGTGGTGAGAACCTCAGAGGGGGCTTGTAGGACAGGAGAGTGGCCGTGGCCGAGCCCTGATCAATCCAGATGTTGAGAGATCAGGTGGAGGGCCTGAAGAGGCCTGTCAGCGTGGTAGGAGGGGAACCCAGAGAAAGATTGCCGCGGACCTGAAGGAAGGGAAGGTCTCACGGAAGAGGGGAAACAGGCCTGTCCACTACAGACGCTTCTTGACTCACGATAGGGCTGTGTCCCTTTAATCCACTGTAAGTTGAAAATATAAGTCAGACATATAAGCCACTTGACCTGCCAGACACCGAAGCTTAGCAGCACAGTATGCTGCAGGGTACGACTGTCTCCCCTCCTCCGCCGGTGGCTGAAAGGGAGCTCTGGCTAGCTGCCACTGTCCAGCATAGAGTGTCTGATAGTGTTCTGTTGGCTTAGGAAAGGATCAAAATTCAAAATTTGAGGTGCGGTCTCTACTGAATGTGTGCCTCACTTCCACACACTCCTCAGTGAGTGACCGATGGCCCGTCAGGCCAACGTAAGTGGGAGACGATCTGTCCTGCAGAAACGCAGAGAGGATGAGGGTAGGCACTATCCATTCTGCCCCAGCAAGTGGGCCTTGGGAATGGTGCTGGGTCTCTATGGGGCTAACACTTCTGCAGGGGCAAAGGGGAAGCCCTGCACAGGGGCTGGGTTGCTCCTGGGGCAGGTGTGCTTAGGTAGAAAGGAGCAATGACCAGGACTCACATGACTTTAGGCGCACCCCCCCCCCCCCCCCCCCCGCCTGGCCCCAGTCCCAGGGCCTGTGTTTGGGATCTTTGGTTTTAGAAGTGACAAGCTAAAGTCAAAAGAAGTGTTTTCTTTAGAAAGTCACTCAGATCATAAGCAGCATTTCATAAAAGTTTTGGGAAAAGCCAGATGTGGATTAAAAGAGAGGATTATGGCCCTAACCCTGTAGCCCCTACAGCGAATGGTGAAGGGCATGTGACGCCATTTAAGGTGCACACTTATATACATAGTTATAAGCTGCTAATAGTGAAATGACACAGTGTATATGTACCTTGGTGTCTGATTTCTTCTGTGTAATGCAATGTCCGTGAGGCTCACCCGTGTGCATGTGGGATTGCTGAGTGGTGTTCCCGTTTTATGAATAAAGTCAACGTCTCCATCCTCCTGCCAACGGACATTTGAGTTGTTCCCAGTTTGGGGCTTTTATGAGCAAAGCTTCACCAAATACTCCTGGGCACATCGTTCAGTAGATCTGCTGTAGTTTTTTGAGCTGACTTTTTTTGCTGACACCTCGGAAACCTATTGATTTTGGTATACTTATTTAGTATTTGGCGATCCTACTGGATTCTAATAGCTTTTCAGTTGATTTTCTTGGAACACATTTGTATCAGATAGAAAGCTTTTAGTCTCAAGTAATAGAAAAACCCAATCCAAATTGGACCAAATCCCAGTGAGTATGTGTTTGCTCCCAAAACTGTAGAGCTTGGCACGGGGCTGGCTTCAGGCAAGGTGTGGTCCAGCAGGCAGATGGTACCAGGGCCCATGTCCACTCTGGGTTTCCCCTCAGCTCTGCCCTCCCTCCCGTGCTGCCTTTGTCCTCCTCCTGGTCCCTTTAGAGCTCTTGTCCAGAGGTAAATTTCACAAGTAGCAACGATTGCTACAGCAGTTGCAGAACAGGCCTCCCTACACCATTCAAAGGAAAGCACATTCAGAATGTAGATCTGACTTGGTCCCCAGTCAATGCTGCCCATCTCATTGGTCAAATCAGACAACATGCCAATGTCTGAGCCAACGAAGCGGCCTGGTTATTGGGGCAGCACTCCCTGATTGGCTCAGCCCAACGAGGCTCATCCTCGAGATATTCCCAGAGAGGCGAAACTCCCACAAACCCCTTGGCTGCCGCACAGTAGGACAGCAGGGAATTGATGAAGGAGTGCAGGGAGCTTTGGATCGGAGAACATGGGTGATAGAGAAGCACCTCCGAGTGGTTATCATTGCGACAATCAGGGTGATCCTGCCTGCGGTTCTTATCCATTGTCCCATCCCAACATCGATGGTCTTGGTCCAGCCTTCCGACTCCCCGCGTTGGCAGGACACGGGGTCCTTCAACTCTCACAGATGATGGAAACAGCTGTGCGCTCTCTGGAAAGCTCTGGGAGGGACGCTGGTATAGCCGGGGGTGGTGGGAGGGTTCCTCAGTGGCTGACGTGGGCCACGGAGATGCTGGAGCCAGCCTAATGGCTGGGTTGGATGGGAAGGGGCCACTGAGAGGTGGCTGAGCTGCGCTTGGCGTTGCAAGAGGGTGGTGGTCTTCTAGTGCTGTGTGACTCGTTCCAGTTTTATTGCAGCCAGCACCCAAGTGTGGCCTTTCAAGGTCATAGGTCAGGAGTCCAAGTGCTCCTAAGCTGGGTCCTTGCCCCACTGGGGCCTCCGGGTGTGACGTTGAGGTGTGGCTGGGCTGCGTGCTTGCCCACTCTCGATCCTCTTCCAGGCCCTTTTGAGTCATTGGCAGGATTCGTTCCTCCTTTCCCCAGAAGCCCTCCTCGGACGGTGCCTGCACCACGTTCCTTTTATAAAAAAAGCCAAAGTTCTGGTTTTGTTATTTGGAGGAGACTGTGAAGAGAGTTGGGCCCTAGAGGTGAAATTTACCTCTGGACAAGAAATCTAAAGGGGCTCTCTGTGGGCTGGACCTCTCTGATCAACACAGGCAGCACCCCACGTAGACGTCCAGGACACAGAAGTGTCCCGCACCCTTCCTGTTGAGCTGCGCTGAGTTGATGGCACACCTCATGGACCCTAGAGAACATTCTTCAGACAAGAATGCTTTCTCCAGTCAATACATCTGACTGTTCAGGGAGAGTGGTGGGATTTTCAGTGAAAATCTGCTTATTTAAGCTATCATGAGAATTAAGGGTGAATTTGGTTAGCAGATTATTTCTTTTAGCTGTGTGGCTGAGGACAAGTGACTTGGCATCTCTGAGCTTCAGTGTCCTTATCAGGAGAATGGGAGCAGCGGTGGTAGTTAGGCAAGGTACATGAAGTTCTCGCATATAACTAAATGGTTTAAAATATCAACCCTTTTCTTTTCACTTAACTCTCAAAGGAATCTCATTACATAGGGATATGGTTAGGGTGATGATTCTTGTGCATATTTTCAGGTAAGAGCCTGAGGCTCTGTTTCCGTGTCCCTCACTGTGCCACAGCACCTGGCAACAGTACTGATTACCTGTCAGGTCCCCTTTCCTTCCATGGCCTGCGCTGTGGGATGGAGTTCCATAAATGTCTTGTCAGGTTGACAGCATATCTTGGTAACAGATGAACTACCCCTGCAAAAACAGTCAAGACTTCAGAAAAATAAGAAGATACAATAGATTGAGCACGCATCTATATTTTTTCTTTTGGCAAGTCCCCAAATCAAATTGGAATTAAGAATGTGTGCCAAGGTTCAGGGGTAGAATGTCCATCAGAACTTGTTTACACAACCCAAACTTTGGAAAAACCTTGATGGTCAACAGTTAAAGGCCAATTGTGATCTACATATGTAGTAAAATATTAAAAGGCACGCTGAAGGTTTGGTGGGGGCGTAGCTCAGTGGTAGAGAGCTTGCCTAGCCTGTGCTTGGCCCTGGGCTCCTTCCCCAGCACTGAAAAAAAAAAAAAAAGAAAGAAAAGAAATTGTACATTTTTCTACACTGGAAAACTAGGAAAAAGCTACAGTGTTGCCTGATAAAAGCAGATTATAAGATAGATCATGAAGTATGACTCATTTCACAAAAGCAGGATACATGTTTTCATAGGTAGCAAATGTGTTTGATCTATGCACACATACACACACACACACACACACACACAGAGAAACACCTGGAATGATACCACCAAACCTCTCCCCCGTGTGGCGATGGGGAAATGCGGGTGATTGGAATGTTCTCTTGTGTGCATTTGGGAGGGAAGGTTCTCCATTTCCCGATCTTATGCATGGATAATAAACCCTAGTTACTAGGAAGGGGGCGGGGAAGGAACCCCGTGGTCTCTGGGTGCTAATGCCGGCTGCTCATTGCAGGTGATCGTGAAGACCAGAACGGAGTATCAGCCGGAACAGAAGAACAAAGGGAAGTTCCGGGTGCCGAAGATCGCTGAGTTCACGGTCAGTGTCTCAGGGTGTCCGGGTAACGGGAAGGGTGGCTGCAGCCTGCTCAGCATGCTGTGGTAGAGCAGGTACCCCTGCCCCACGGGAAAGGGACAGGCCACCTCTGAGGACTTCTCAAAGCCACACCGGCTCCAGCATGGTGCCCCATGGAAGGGCAAGGGCCTCCTGGGGCCTTGTATTCCAGAAGGTTCTGATGCGCCTGAGAATTGGCAAGTGCCTCTTTGTTCCTGCCGATGTTCCTGTCCCCTTCTTCCTGCTCTTTCAGAGTCCTCAGGAAACACGGTGGAAACCCATCAAGTTTGTGGTTGCAACAAACGCAAAGAAAAAGGGTTCCTTGGTGGTAGAAACCCAGGGGTTGGTTGTCTAGTTCTTGGTGGAGGGTCCTACGAAGTTGCTGGCTGTGGGGAGTCACATCTCGGCCACGAGAGATGCAGGGAAGTCGCATCTCGGGCCACAAAGCCTGGAGAGATGCCGGGAAGCCCTGTAGGTGGGTCACTTGGGAGCTGAGCCATTGGAGTGTGTGGGGGAGTGGCTGCTCATGCCAAGGCCCTGCAGCTGGAGGGGGACTAGCCCAGAACCATAAGGACAGTGGGGCGGGGCTCTGGAGAGGTTGGGGGCAGGGAGGGGTGCGGCAGGAAGGGGGCAGAACACAGGGCTCCTTGCAGGCCGCAAGGAGGGATCATCCATAGGAAGCCACTGAAGAACGTCCGAAAGGCGAGGGTTGACCAGATTTGAGTTTTAGAAAAAGCATGTGGTCTTGTATGTGGTTAGTGGGGTACAGGGGCGAAAAGGAAAGTGGGGAGACAGCTGGGCTACTGCAGTTGTCCAAGTAGGAAGCACTCGTGGCTCAGACAAGGATGGTGAGTGAAGCGACAGATGCAGGCCCATCCACAGGACGGCGGGGAGGCGGCATCAGCCACGGAGGCAGCAGAACTAGAGGCTCTGTGTGTGGACGTTGAAGCGGCTTGGTGGGGCTGGAGCCCTGTGTCGATTTACATTGGCCGTGTCACATTATTAAACTCCTTATCACATGGAGACAGTAGTGGGGCTGCTGCAGGCTGCAATGTAGAGCACATGACTTGTACAGAAGATGGTGCACAGTAACAGGGGCTGTTTGTGTCAACTGGGACTGCAGGACAGGCAGGGCCGAGGGGGCTTTGAAAGTGAAAGCAGCCCTTGGTTAGTTATCTGAATGGGGGAGGGGGCAGAGAGGGTGCAGATGAACAGAACGGTCTGCTCCCACCTTTGACTATCTTTCTCTGTGCTAAATCTATGTTAGAGCTGCTGGGTGTGTGACCCTGGGTGGAAATGCCACCCAGCTCCTGCAAGGTGGGACTCTATAAATGCCAGCTCCCTTTTTGAAAGCAGGGGCTGCTCTTTTACTATGCCTTCAGTGTCTGCCACACAATGTGGACCTGGCGGCTGTGGCAGCCACATCAATGTTAGCAGCTCAATTCACAATGGCTAAGCTATGGAACCAATCACCATCAACAGATGAATGGATAAAGAAATTATGGTATGTATAAGCAATGGAATAGTACTCAGCCATAAAAAATGACTTTATGACATTTGCCAGTAAATGGATGGATCAGGAGACTATCATGCTAATTGAAGTAAGCCAATCCAAAAAAAAAAAAAACAAATAAACGTTAAATGTTCTCCTTGATGTGTGGATGTTAACACAAAAAAGTAGGGGAAGGGATTAGATAAGGGGGAATGAAGGGAAGGGAGGAGGGATAGGGATAGAAAAGACAGTGGAATGACTCTGACATAACTCTCCTCTGTACATATATGAACACACCACAGTGAATCTCACCATCGTGTATAAGATAAATTCCATGTTTTTATAAATATGTCAACATAGACTCTGTAGTCATATATAACTAAAAAGAACAAATTAAAAAATAAGTGAAGATTTAAAAAAAAAATTCCCCTGTGAATCCGCGCATATTTCCCATGGCCCCTGCTGCCAGGATAAGTCAACTGAGTCCCCGGCCTGGTGCACACATGCAGGCAAAGAGAAGCCCCAGCGCCCCTGCAGCTCCATGCTCATTCCTGCAGGTGTGTGCTTATTCCTGCAGGTGACTGTGGGCAGCTGGGGTCAGATACGGTCCAATGGGCTGTCATGGCACCACAGTGCTTGTGCTTAGTGATGCTTGTTTTAGTTAGGAGTGGCCCCAAAGCGCAAGAGCCCCGGGGCTGGCAGGCAGCCAGCAGATAGCCAACCTGCCATAAAGTGAGAAGATGAAAGTCCTTGGTTTAGAACGGGAAGAAAAGGGTCATAGGGTGCAGGGCTGAGATCTGCAGGATGTTGCTGTTGTTAATCCCCGTGTTGAACTGACGGACCACACCATACCATAGGTGTGCGTTATAGGGAAAATTACAGTTCATATCGGGTGCGGTACTCTCTGAGGTCTTAGGCCTCCACTGGGAGTCCATCTCCCCTGGATAAGGGGGACAACTGTAGTTCCTCTTCCCAAAGGGGAGGTAGGGCTCAAAGAGTGGAGGTGACTGCTCACCTGGCTGCCCAGCGCCCGGGCAGTGTCCAGGGCTGGTGCCTGGCCTTCCCCTTGGACTCGCCACTGCAGTAGACATGTTAGAACAGGAGTGAGTCAGCTGAGACGTGGGGAGCAAGTTGCTCAGGGTCCGAGGACTGGAAGTGCCGCGCACTTGAGCTCAGTCAGCCTTGGAGGTGTAGAGAAGGGGCTGTCTCTGCGCCAGGGCAGCCCTTTGCTAGGCACAGGTGGAGGAGGGAGGGCTAGGCGCGGGTGGAGGAAGGCCCTGCAGTCTGGAACAGGAAGAGGGGATGAAGAGGATTCTCCTTTGCTCATGTGAAGCTTCCAGCATTGATTAGCCTGTCCCCTCCCCCCACTTTCTTCTGGAAAGTTCCCCCTGGGTTTTGTGGAAGATGTTTGTGGCTGGAGGGTGGAGGCAGGAGTGGGGAGGAGGCTGGGGGTGATTAAGAAGAGCCTGAGGGTCTCAGCTGAGTCAGCGCTCCCAGGCCCCCGGACCCAGGTGGGCTGTGGCAGACGATTCACAGAACTGACTTCTGGTTGCAGAAAGCACAGGGCACTCCCTGTGTTTGTTCATCTGACTGGGCCTGAGGACTTCCTTCCACCAAGGCAGTCCTTTTCACAAAGGTAACACTGAGAATAAAGTGCCTGGAGGTCCAGGGAAGGTTTGGGGGTGGGTGGGCCGCCCTTGGGGGCAACTAATGGTCTGGGCTAAGGATGGAGATTCACCTAGAGAAACGTCTGGAAGAGGGTGGGCTTCACAGTGCTGGCCAACAGTGCAGGATCCTTCTCTAGGATATACTGCCAGGGTTCAGGGGACCCTAGGAAGGACCAGGGTGCACCCCCTACCACTGCAGTCCCTTCACAGAGGTGGGACAGTGTGTCACTTTGAATTTCAAAATTGACCTGGAGAGAGCAGTTTATAAGCAGTTACACTGAGGGTGGGGGCCGAAGAGAGCAGAATGGGGAGAGACAGAGTGTGGGAAATTGACTAAAAGAATCGACAGGGATTTTTGTCACTTCTAAAACCAAGGAGGGTCTTAGAGTCCTTATGAAAGGCCAGAGGCCTGCAGTGTCTTCAGCAGGCCAGCCTCAGCCAAAGGGAGGGCACCTGGAACCCTGGAGCTGGCTCCCTAAAGGCCTGTTTGGCTGTAGGGTGCTGGTGCTATGGAAGCCTGCTGGACGGGGAAGTGCGAGCCGTGCGGGCACTGGGCCTGGTCACCCCCTGCCTGCGGGCACAGGTGCAGGTGCACGTGCAGGTGCTGGGGGCTGTTGTGCAGCGATGGTCCTGAGGAAGACACTGGTGGTGGGGAACGTGCTGCTGCCATGCAGGATGTGGGTTCCGCCAGGGCTGCTGCTCCTGGGGAGCAGGTTGGTGCTGTGGAGGGGGCTGGCCCTGCAGGGGACCCGAAGCGGGGAGAGCTCCGGTGCTGTGGAGAGTGTTGATGCAACAGAGGAGGTGATTGTATGCAAGGTGGTGGTGCTTTAGAAGGTTCTGGATTTATGGAGGCTACTAGTTAGGGAGGTGCTGGGCCGTGGAGGGTGCTGCTGCTGTGGAGGGTGCTGGGCTGTGGAGGGTGCTGCTTGTCTGCCGCGCTCCAGGTCGGCTTGTTCGGGGCTGGTCCTCCAGTGGGAGCTGCATGCTGCCGTCAGAAGCCATTGTGCCAATGGCTGACTTTCTGGAAACACCTGGGGCTGGGCTCACCTGAGGATCTCAGGCGATGACCTTTTCCTCTTTAACTTAGTGACCTCGGGAAAGCCCTTCACCCCCTGACCTGACTCACGGTCCTCAACAGCAGGCCGTGGTCTTGCGGTAACCAACAGTCCTGGTGCACTCTGAGGGCTTAATGAATGATCATTTATCATTTCCTTCCTGTTTTTATCCCTTTTCTTTCTCTTGGGTTTTTAGCTTCCTGCCTCATTGGCTGGATTTGTCTGTTGGCTGGGCTCCGAGCTCCCTGCCCTGACCTTCCCATGGGACATGACTTGGAAAACCTGGAGAACTGTTGGAGGTTGTAGCGAGTTCAGGGTCCACAGGTGGCCTCTGCTTCTTAGCAGGGACCCCGGGGCCATGTCTTTTCCTACTATAAATGTAGTCTATATTTTTGTGGGCCATTTTTCTACACATATCATGTGTTAAAGATGCTTTCCCACCACTCTTTGTCCTGATAATCCTCTTGTGAACTGGATACTCGCATCATCCCTGTTTTGCAGGTGAGGAAATGGGTGCTCAGGGATGTGAAGTGGTCTTCCCAAGCCTGCTCAACCAAGAAGTGAGAGAGCAAAACAGGGACCCACCTCCCTGGCTCCACGTTCCCTGCTCTCTGCCAGGCCTCAGTGCCACCGGCTATTGCACTTTATCAGGCCATTTTTCCTTCTTTGTGTTGGCATTTGCCCTGGGTGTGGCTCGGTGCCTGCTGCTGGGGCACACAAGGTGGCCATATCCCTGCTCTCAAGGAGCTCACCAGAGTGCGGGACAGACAA